GTCTTGAACAAAACTTAATACATCCATCGCAAATTGGGTTTCAATCAGGTCATAGAACTGTGGACCATATTTTTACTTTGAAAACATTAATTGACAAATCTATTAAACAGAACAAAAATGACAAAATCTATGCATGTTTCGTAGATTGCAAAAAAGCTTTTGACTCGGTTTGGCACAAAGGTTTATTTTTTAAATTACTAGAAAACAAAATTGATGGTCAAATTTATAATCTTATTAAAAGTCTTTAGTCAAATTCAAAATGCGCTGTTAAACAAAGCAAAACAAGAACTGATTTTTTCAACTACTCCAAAGGTGTACGACAGGGATGTATACTGAGTCCCCTCTTCTTTTCAACATTTATATAAACGAGTTAGCTACTTTGTTTGACAACACAAGCTCTGATCCATTTATACTTCCAAATGGAACAAAACTGAGCTGTCTTTTATATGCTGATGACCTAATCATACTATCTAGATCAAGGTTCGGTCTCCAGAAATGTCTGGATGACCTCCACAGCTGGAATAATAAATGGCTTATGGAGGTGAATTTAAAGAAAACACAAGTTATGATATTTGAGAAAACAATTTATAAAAAAGCGAAACCAATTTTTAATCTCGGAAAGAAAGATATAACTGTTGGAAAAGAATACTGTTATTTAGGCATTAAGATGAATAACAATGGTAATTTCACTTTAGCTCTTAAACAGTTGAGCGAAAAAGCCCTCCACGCACTATACAGTATGAGAAGACGACTCAATATACACCATCTTAACCCAAAATCTGCTATTAAAATTTTCGATCGAATTATAAGCCCCATCCTTCTTTACAACTCTGAAGTATGGGGTGCATATGTAAAAAACGATTTTAACAATTGGGACAAGTTACCTATTGAAAAAGTCCACCTTAGATTCTGCAAACTATATCTAGGTGTTGATAAAAAAGCTAGCAATATCGCCTCAAGAGGTGAACTTGGAAAATTCCCTCTAATTATTAATATCTTCAAAAGACTTTTCAAGTACATCACTCATTTGAACTCTTTATCGGAAACAGCAATTGCCAAACAAGCTTTCCTAATCTCAAAAGATTTGTTTACTAAACAGAACACTTCTTATTATGGAAAAGCAATGGATATTTTGAAAGCATTTAACCTCAACACAGAAATCACTGACTTGGAATCAATCACAACTGAACTTATTCAACCTATTACCAAACGTCTTAAAGAAGATTACCTCACATTTTGGAAACACAAACTTGAAAATTCCTCGAAACTAACACCTTTTATTCAACCATCAAGATAGATTACGAACTAGAAAAGTACTTATCTATAATAAAAGACTCAAACAAAAGGAAAACCTTAACACGATTCAGATTAAGTAACCATAGCCTTCAGATTGAAACTGGTAGATACCATAATATAGCCCGAGAAGAACGACTGTGTAACCTTTGTCACTCGGGAGAAGTCGAAAATGAATCTCACCTCCTCCTCACTTGCGAGGCTTACGGTGACACTCGAGTAAACTTTATAGACAGTCTAAAAAACGATCTCACTACTATTGAGACAAACTTAAACAAACCAACTTTATCAGTTGACATAATGAAGTCAACTGCTAGTAACACCATCCTGAAATTATCGAAATTTATTTTTTCGTGTTTTGAGGAAAGACTTAAACAACTTGAAGCCGGGAATGCTGGTAGTCATTAGTTAAACTTTCCATCCTGTAAATAGTATCTTCTTATAGTCTACTTCTTAAATATTTTCATATGTTACATTGTTACGTTATAGTTAAGCTTTAGCAATACCTGTAAAATATGGTCATGCTAATAAAGTGATTATCAATAGACCCCCCCCCCCACTTAATAAAGAAATTACAAAATAACCTCTAAGCCGAACATCCTCGATACACAAGAACCCTCTTCATCAATGAAAATGTTATCCTATGGAACCATATATATGCAGTATACCAAAGATTAAGATTAGATTAAGATTAGATTTATTAAAATACTTGAATGACAGTTCAAAATCGAACTGAAAAATACAAGTTTACATAGTTTAAAAATAGTAGAACAAAATACGTATATACAGATTATAGATACGCTGGTAATACTAATTACAATAACGTAGGATTGCTAATTTACAAATGATATATTAATCTATAGAAGCCTAAAAGGTTAAAAAGAGTTCAATTTGCGTACGCAATATGGCAAAAGACTATCATTATAGAGTTTAGTTCGGGTTTTAAAAAGTGAGAGCGGGAATGTCTAAGATTGTACTGATGATCTAAAGGTTCAGGTAATAGATTAAAAATTTTGCTCGAAGTGTCACTATAATTGTTTTTGTAAAAAGATCTGCATAACAATTCCCTTCTCTCCTCGAGAGTGGGCAACTTTAGGTCTTTGAGGCTTTCCGAGTAGGACAAGTGGGGAACAATAATTTTGAACGCACATCTCTGAATGTGCTCTAATTCATCAGTCAGGAACTTTGGTAATGAGGTATGCCAGACTGGACACGCATATTCCAAGACAGGTCTGATAAAACTACAATATACTGTCCTAAGATCACTCGGTTGGACACCATTTCTTCTTAATATCCTTAAAGCGTACAGACGTTTGCTTGCTTTGGAGGATATGTCCCTGATGTGTGCAGACCACTTAAGATCGGAGGTCAAATTTACCCCCAGGAGCTTGATGGTAGTAACAGCCTCCAGGGGTTGGTTATTGACAATCAAGGGTTGCGCCAAGGGTTGATTGATAAAAAATGACACGGTGAAATCTTTAGTTTTTTTAACGTTCAACTTCATGTTGTTCTCACTTGACCACTGGGTCACGTTGTGAAGTTCTTGCTGTAATTTTGGTAGATCTGGTTCACATACTCTAACGACTTCAGAGATTGCACAATCGTCAACATACTTGTATAAAGGCAATTCGCTGGACAGATCATTGACCATTATAAGAAAGAACAGAGGACCAAGTTTGGTACCTTGCGGAACTCCAGCTTTTATTTCTTTCCAATCAGATTTACAAGTTTTTAATTTGACGTGCTGCTGTCTGCCTTGAAGAAAACTTGAACACCAGTTTAATAGGACCGGTGGAATATTGAGAAGCTGTAACTTGCGCATCAGAATGTTATGATTAATTCGATCAAACGCTTTGGAAAAATCGATGAAGCAGGTTCGGATAATGGTGTTAGGCACATCCAGGGCAGAGAGCCAGTAGTGGACTAAATGCACAAGGGCGTGAGTGGTTGAAGACTTTTTCACACTACCAAACTGGAAAGGGTCGATGTATGGCATAACAATAGGTGCAAGCCAGTTGAAAACAAAAGACTCAAGAATCTTGCTCATCACTGCAGTTAGAGATATAGGTCTAAGGTCCGTATCAATAGACTTCGGTCTAGAGATCTTCCCCAACGGGAGGACATCCACACATTTCCACAGCCCGGGGACACAACCTTCTCTAATAGAAGAGTTAAACATGGAACACACAGGGATGCTAATAGTTGTGGCGCAGGTTTTCAAGAGCCAATTGGGAATCTCGTCAGGTCCTACAGACTTGCGATCTTGGACAGCCACCAAAGCAAGATCTGTGGCATCACGGGTAATAAATGTACTCATGAGGAATGTTGGAAACAGGTATGGGAGTAAAGTTTAGTTGTGGTATGTCAGCAGCAACACTGCAAAAGGATTCGTTAATAGCGACAGCAAGATCGAAGTCCTTCAAAACAGTGCCACTTACGGCTAAGCTTGTTAACAGGGAGGATTAGAAAGTCCAGACAACAGCTTGATTCCGTCCCACCACTTTTTAGGATTACTCTCATGCATGTGATTAATTTTGTCATTGTAGAATCTTTGGCGCGCTCTCTTGCAGAGTTTATCACTTTATTGCGATAAACATTATATCGGTGTAAGTCATTATTCAACCAAGTTTGTTGGCGTTTCTTAATAGATTCTTTAATAACAGGAGTAATCCATGGTTTGTCATTAGGATGATGTTTCACAGTACGCATGGAGATACAGGAATTCAAAGCAACGTGAACTACCGACTGGAAAGAATCCAGTTGTTCCTCGCATGAATTCAGCCGCACGAGTGGCGTCCAGTTAACAGTATTCAGACGAGAGATCAAATTTTGTTTGTTAGGAGCTCGATAATCACACTTTTGCAATCGTGTGGTTGGTAGACTTGGAGGATGTGTCAAAATAGGTTGTAGTAAGATACTGGAATGATCGGATTGACCAATAGGAGGCAGGATGATGGCATCGTAGTAAGGTGACAGAGTTGAAAAAGCTTGGTCAAGGATATTACTTTCCCTGGTGGGCTTGGTAACCAGTTTCGTCAATCTAAAAGAGTTGCAGAGATTACCTGGTTTGAATTGATTGAAATCACCAAGGACCAAGATGGCAGAATTAGGATAGGTGGCAAGTAAAGAATCCAAACATTTGAAGATATGCATTCGAAGAACATGGTCATCGCTCTGAGGAGGATGGTAAACTGTTCCCAATAAAATAGAGTTGATTCCTCGTGGTATAAATGTTCCATTCTGATTAGAAACCATTGACTCTGAATTTCTGGCTCACTCAGGTCAGTTAATTCAGTAAAATTAAGTTGTGAACTGAAATAGGTACAAAGACCGCCCCCGCATTGGTTATTCGGTCTATCCCTTCGGCACGATACATAGCCAGGTATACGAATAAGTTCATCAGTTACTTGGGTTTCAGTAATTACGACAACATCGTATATATCTGTGGAAATTGATGCTGAGACCTTGTCTAACTTATTGACCATCGACCTAACATTACTAAACCAAATCTTGGGGAAGCGTGGAATTGTAACTGATCTCCGCAAGGGGATTAATGAAGTATAATCAAGGACACTGATGCACTCAGGCCGTTTGTTTTTCCTGGCTTTCATGATTGTAGGAATCGGGTATTTGTTAAATTCCTGGTTATGTGAAATGGCACTTACAATGTTTTGAGGGGGAAAAACGACGAGATTTGGGTTAGCATATTATCTGCTTCGTGCGACAATGAGGTGTTCCTGGAAGTGCCAAGATTGATCTCCCAAAAACTAGATGATTCCCCCATTCTGCTATTATTAGAGTTAACGTTTCTACTCAATACCGTACCGCCCCGACAAGGGGAGAAAAGTGATACGTTTTCTTTGGAAGTCTGTTCGTGATTCGAACTGGTGATGGTCGTTGTGGAGGTTTTTTTATTCAAAAACCGGGTTCTTGTGGGGACTGTCCGTGGTTATTATGTGGACAAGGTTTAAGTGGTTTAGCCAATCTTTGGTCAGTCGGCGAAGGAGAGTGGTGGTTTGCATCTGAAATAATGTTTTCCGAAAAGGATTTTTCTTACGTTTCTCTAAAGGAACGTATTCGGCCTTGTCATGTGCTATCTTATGACGATTATGTTTGTCAACAAAATTAATTTTTGTATTCGGTGTAGATAATTTACCACTGGGTTGGATACTTTCTACGTCTTGGCTTGTCCTTTGTTTAGGATGCTTATTAATCAGGATTTCGGAAACCTTGTTGTGGTTTCTTGACTGATTTTAAAAGCACACCATTGGGAGGTGTTACAGGCAAGGAGATGTACAATGATCTGTTGTTTTCTTTGTTTAAGTCGGCACTTTGTATATTTATGTCTAAATTAGCATTTCCGTTGCTTTGATTGCTTTTTTGTTTAAGGGGCTCATTAATTATAGATTTGGCCGGTGTGTTTTTGTCCAGATTTTGAGATGCAAATTTCAATAAATCACGTTCGTTTTCGACTTGAATTAACTTCTCCTGAAGATTTGTAATAGTCTTGTTCTTCTCTTTTAAAATTACGGAAAACTCTTGGAGAAATGTTTCAAATCCAAGATCATAAGGTACACAGCCACTCTCGGGATCTGAAGGTATCAGAATAGCACTCATGGACTCAATAATTGCGTTAGTGGAGTCTATGATTGCATTGACAGAGTTCATTTGTGTTTGTAAAGCTGCGATGTCCGATTTAATATCCTTCAAAACCTATCGATTCTGCTTTCACAGCAATAACCATTATACACAGATGAATTGATATAAGTGCTAGTATTGTTGGTAGTTTCGTCTAAATCTCCCGACAAAAGATTAGGTTCAAGGGGTGTTTTGGTTGTTGTATTTAATACTCCATCCGTGATAGCATCTGTTTGATTTGCAGAGTTTGTTTGTAAAATATGCACCAGAAATTTCTTGAATGATTCGCCTTCTTTACCGTGGAATATCAAAGAGTTTAGCTTTCCCGGATACCAAGTCATAACAAAATTCGAGTCATTAAATTGTTTTGCTCTACCGCCGGACCATCATAAGTTAGGTAAGCTTGATTATTTAACAATCTAATGGGCTCTAGATTGACATTCTCCAGGATAAAATTCCTATGATTAAGTGAGCTCGAAATTTCACAGCTGACCGCCATATTGTATAAGCAGTCGAGAAAGAGAAAGCAGAAGGCACCTATACATTACCGAAATCCGGAAAAGCTCATGTTACCATCAACAGCATTAGTAAAACGAGAGTTAAATTGGCTGTCCACACACTGTCAGAGAAAGTAGCAAAGGAAATGGAGGAATGTGATAGAGAAGCAACTGAAGAGACCAGAAAATATATCAAGGCCTGTGTGACATTTTGGAAAATTTTCAATGACCCGGCACCGATGAAAACATCAAGCGATAAAAGAATGATGGAGCTAAATAACATTTTTATTTATCTACGTTTCGACTATATTTCAGTCATCATCAGGATAAACTGAAACTAAATAACTAACTATGGAGCTAAGTAACGTCCTGGATTATTTCACTACATGGCGAGAATGGTTTGCACTTAAGTATAAGACAAAAACAGAGCAATCACAGCACTTCATTTTATGGCAGTTGATGTCAGATCTGGATGTAAGAGTTTCATATAGTTTGAAGTATATTTACGTACTTTATTTGTTCTAATGCTCCCTGCATATTGTTGTCACAATAATCAATATTTATGTCATTTATTTTAAATTATATAGTGTACAATTAATGCATTGAAAGAGCTTCTGGATTTCATATGTACCCCCAAGTTTAAAGACATATATGGTGATGAATTGTATATCAATATTAAAAGAATCAGCCACGTCCATGTCTAAAGCTATTTTTCAGCACATAGACAAAGTGTGGCGGTACCCAAAACATGACAGGATACACCTATGGATACAACATCAACTGCTTATCCAACACAAGTTCATCAAAGTTCCTAATGAAAAAGCAAACAAACGTTTACAACATAGCAGAGGCGCTTCCCGTGCTAAACAACAGCGAACAATTACCCGAACGTTGTACCAATGAGAGTATTTGGGATACAATTCCATGGTATGTTGAAGTCGAATGAACTGCATGCTGATAATAGCATTGTAATGTGAACAATAATGAATTAAAATAACCTTACCGTTTATTGACGTTTCACCCAATGCCAATGGCTTTGTTTTTGTGCCAGGTATTTACTCGTATTTCGTAAACAATTGTTAAACATCCCGTTTTATATTAACACATGCACACATTTAAGTACAGTAGATTAAGACACATTTAATAAAACTGCTATCTCTTTTATACATTAGTACTCTGAGCCCGCATTACTGTTCCATGATACATACTTCTTGTTACATCCTTTCTTCTTTAAAAGGAGATAGAAACTATACAAACTTTTTTTTTTAGAGTTATTTTAAATTACAACAATATACACCTAAATGCAGTATTACTAGTTCAAATATTTAAGTTTATTATTTAATCCAGTTCGCATTTCAAAACACCAATGATACATATTCTTTCAAATATGCAGGTCTATTTACTAACCGTCCTGAACGTGTTCGTATTTCTACTTTTTGTTCTCTTTGACACTCTACCGCTTGTTTTGACTGCCTTTCTTCAGTCTGGTTCGATTCTCTATCTTCGTCTGTGTGAATTTCTGTTGGAGGTGTCTCATCAACTTCATCTTCATCTTCTGTTGTTTTTCTGAGGTGACTTCGATTTCGTCTCAGAACTCGTCCATCTTGTGTTTCAACTTCATATGATCTAATACCAACTTCTGCTTTCACAGTCGCTTTGACTGACGGGCTTTTCTTAAGACCTTGTCCGTGATCTTGAATTCTTACTTTGTCTTCTTTCTTTAAACGAGGTAGATCTTTTGCTCCTCTGTTATAATACTTCGCTTGACGTTCTTGGCCTTTCACAATTTCTTGATGGTGATTCTCTACAACTGTTGGTGATAACAACTTTGCTGTCGTTGGGAGCAATGTTTTCGTTCTTCGCGACATTAGTCTTTGTGCTGGGAAACTTTCACTTCCTTGTGTCGGTGTATTTCAATAATCCAGCACCGCTAAATACACATCTGCATTATCTTTCTTCGCTTTCTTCATGAGACGTTTCACTGCTTGGACTGCGTTTTCTACACGACCGTTGCTCTGAGGATGTCTGGGAGAAGATGTAATTCTCTGAAACTTCCAACTCTTGCTGAACTTATGATACTCCTCGGACACGAACTGCAGACCATTGTCGGACATACACACATCTGGAACTCCGTACCTCGCGAATTGAGATTTCATCTTCCGAATCACCATTTTCGCCTTGACATTCTCTAGAAGATCTATTTCCCAAAAACCTGAAAACACGCCGGGCTAATTCGCGACACAGAAGGCCATGATTTTTGTCTGCGAAAAATATCCAAGATGGCGGTGAAATATTCAAAATGGCCGTCATGGCTATTTTCGGATTTCCAAATTAAAATTTGATGGATATGAAGGTATTGAAAGGTTCAATTGTGGATCTTGTTGGATAATCGAGGACCCGTATGCAGTACAATGTTGTCAAGCTGTTCAAGAAGACATGTTGTTTTATATTCGAAGGTAAAATAAGCTTGCTATCTTCGATGTCAGAATGCTGTTATAGTCTAGTCTCAGTCAGAATCGTGACGTTAATGCTTTCGGTAAGTGAGATTTTCGTTACATTTGGAAATTTTAAAACCATAGAATTCTTGCTAATTGTCTGAAGTTGTCTAATTCACAGCTTTTTGGGTTTTAGATCCATGTGCTTTTCACAACTTTTGCCCTTTTGCCGTTGGTTAATACAAATGCGTCTGTCCAGCGACAATTTTATATGGGCAAGAAGAAGTCAAGTAACAAAACCGCCGCAAGAAAGCGCTTCCCTGTTGGCGAACTTTCTAGAAAAAGGCAAGAATTAAAGGAAATTTTCTTAGCTAAAAATGCAAGCCTGCAAGTTGCCAAAAAAGATATTGATAATGTTTCAAAGAGGGTAAGTACTGAGTGTTCATCAAACTCTACATCTACACTAATCTTTCAGTTAATTTAAGACTGCAGTGGATTTCTTAGTGCATTAAAGTATGCTAGATATAAGAAATAATTAAAATATATATTAAATGCATTGGTTCAGCATATACTATAATAAAATATAAATTCTATAGTAATTAGCAAAAAATGTTCTTCTGCAGATTAAACGCCATAAAGAAAAAATTGTGTTGCTCAGTGTAGAAGAACAGTCCTTACAAGCAAAAAGGAGGAAACTTGAAGATAAAAAGACCAATAAACTACGAGCAAGTCTGAAAAGGAATTTGACCATAAGACGAAAAGCACCCTCTAAGTTAGATCCACATAACTCAGAGAAACTTCAATGTTCTCTCTCAGTTCGGTCAAACAGAAGAAGACGAAAAGAAACCTTAGATGTCTGTCAGAGTATACATGGGGATGCCGAAGGTAATAATGGAAGTGCTTTAACCCATTGAGTTGCATTGCACCCTGATGCACCCTACGTTAGTATTTTACTCTGTCTAACGCCAGACGATTTTACTCATCAATGGGAGAACGCTGGCGCTTAATGGGTTAATTAAGTTAAGACATGTAAATAAGTACTTGCTGTCTGGCAAATGTAAGCTTCGCTAGATCAGAGTCCAGTACCTTGATAGTATTTTGTAAATGAAACTGCCCAAGGCCGGACATTTTCAAAACATTTGAAACCAGTGATCTAAAACATTGTAGCTAGATTAAGACTGATGTTTATTTGAAAGTAGCACTAATTACGGCTTTATGAAATGAATTTTTTTCTTAACCCATTTACCGGCAGTATGTACTCTACCACTGACGAGTAAAATCATCTAGCGTTAAACAGAGTAAATACTAAAGTAGGGCGCACTGCCTGCTAACGGGTTAATTGACTGCACATCCATGGCGTGCGGTTTGCTAGCTATTACCCAGGAGTAGAAGCTAGTGATAATTTTGTTTTGAAAAACTTGCAGCTGCGACATTCTATTTTTAGGAGAAACCTCTGCAGCCCTTGATGGTATGTGGGCAACTATGGTTAATGAAAGTACATCTGGCCGACTAGAAACATATCTGGACAAATCACGAAAGATACGTAGTAAGGTTATCCCATCCTTAATGAGCAAACAAGTTAAAGAGTATCAAGATAGCAATGACAACATGTGTCGCAGTTTGAAAATTCTTTATGAGGATGGCCTTCTTGCTAAAAAGAAGTATAAGTCTATTTGTAGAAATGTCAAAGCAACAGTGGGTCAATCAATAACCAACCCAAAACTTGTTTATTATGACAAGTTGATTGCCTTTATAAAATCAGTAGATGTTCAAAATGTTCATGATTTTGCATCTGAGTTTAACAAGGATACAAGTAAATTTGAGGAACCAATTAATGGGTCCTATAGGGATTTCTGCAGTTACATAAAAGTGTTAGCCGAACTATATATACAAGTAGACCAAGCATTAGGGTCTGAGTCGTTTTTCCAACATTTTGGAGCATTGCCCTATCACTTTAGAATTGCTATTGGAGCGGATGGCGCTCCATTCGGAAAAGATGATGAAGCCACTGCTTGGCTTGTTTCGTTCTTAAATGTGGGTAAGCATATTCAAAGTGAAAGGGACAATTTCCTTTTATGTGGGGCAAACTGCTCAGAAAATCACCCAAGCATGAAACAGTACGCAAAGAAATTGATGCAAGATATCGCACACATTGAGACACAGTCATACATTATCAGCGGTTTTAATTGTAAATTTACAGTTGAACTTGTTCCCTCAGATATGAAATGGCTATCCACAATGAGCGGAGAGCTCAACAACGCAGCTTACTATTTTTCCCCTTTTGGAAATGTAAATGATGACAACAAACGGTCAGAAATGGATCCCTAGGGGATGATCCGTCATGTACATGGCATCCCTGGAACTATAACGAAAGGATTAAGGTTGCTAGGGAAGTTGCAAATAAGAGGGAGGAACTATGCAGGTCCAATAATTCCAATGCCACTAAGAGAAATAAGCTTCTCAATTTCATTAGGGAGCAGGGGTCTAGACAGGAATATGAACCACTTCTGGGCAAATTAGTAGATTGTGGGTTTGCAGAGCCATTGCATAATAGTAACAATGCTTGGGCCTATTTTCATCAACTAATGCTTGAAACAGCTTTGGCTAAATCTTGCATTACAGGAAGCTGCAAACAGATCGAAGACCTACCCTCGGATAGTCCCTTTTCCCTTTACATCACAGTTTTGAAAAACCAACTGCGTGTTGGTCGGCTGGTTAAAAGAATAAGAACCTGGTTCAATGAAGGCCGGAAAGGTCCTTTTAGTTATAGGTTTACAGGAAAAGAAACCAGAATATTTTGTCACAAATTCATGTTTGTGCTGCATGCATTGAGCCAAGCAACTGACCCACCTCAGACTAAGTTGAAGATTGCATCCATAGCTTTCTGTTGCTTACAGTTAAGAGATGCAATATCATATTTCTCTCGTGTAGATATTAACCTTGCTGAGTTAGAACAGTGCAAGAAGGCTTGTTTATACCTTTTTAATGCCAATGCTCTGTTGTTAAAATCAGTCACACCAACACTGTGGACTGTTGGTTATGCTATACCAAGACACATAGAAATATTATTTGATAGATACGGCATGGGATTGGGTATCAATAGTATGCAAGGCCGAGAAGCAAAACATGTAAGACTTTCTGAATTTGCCAAACACTCCACAAAATCAACAAGGTGGTCTATGGTCTTACGTCATGACTACATGTGTAATGTGTGGATCCGCATGAATGAGCCTGGCCGTGTTTTGTACACAACACACAAACACCACTACATACCTAGAGAAATAGAGCTGGAAACTTTCTGTTATTGTGGTTTCCCTATATGTAAAGGTCAGCAATGTAGTATTTGTATATCAGATGTTTTTAAAGCTGTCGAAGAGACAGCAATAGCTGGAGCATTGATCAAGGAAATACATAGATATATATAGTCCTAAATGGAATGTAAACGAGATCACATTAAAGGAGCTTAGCAAGTGTTTTAACACACTATTTTTAACTTAACTTTGTGCACAATTGGTAGCATATATTTAATACAGTCTGTAAAGTTGATAACATATTTTATGCTATAAGCAGACCTTGGTGTTTTAACACTCTTTTAAATTTTATGAAATTTTGTGTACATGTACAATTGTAATATGTTTAATACACTTTTGTGTAAAATTGTTGATGCATTTTTGCTTTAATTAAATTAATAAACTATTTATTCAACAAATGGTTGTCCACTTTTGCATATGTTTCAATATGTAACCACAACTGAAGAATTAAAGGAACGCAGTCGCAATTCGAGCGATATTATTTAGCACGATATGTTTACATTCAAACTTGAATTAGTTTTGGACAGAACTGAGCAAAGATTATGGCCAATATGACACTAAAATAATACCGCTCAAACAGACTGTGCGCCTTTAGCCACATGATGTTTGTACAGAATATTGTAGTCTGATTCAGTTATATTAGAGGCCGGCATTTACACTGGCTATTTGGACTAATTTATTTCGTCTGATCGATCCGGTTACAGCAAGCCAGTGAGGAAGATGAAAATTTGTCTTAACCCATTAAGCGCCAGCGCTCTCCCCTTGATGAGTAAAATTGTCTGGCGTTAGACAGAGTAAAATACTAAAGTGGGGTGGATCAGGGTGCAATGCGAATCAACGGGTTAACTAGACGCATGGGCAGATAGGCCAGTTAACCCATTAAGTGCCAGCACTCTCCCCTTGACGAGTAAAATCATCTGGCGTTAGACAGAGTAAAATACTAAAGAGGGGTGCATCAGGGTGCAATGTGACTCAACGGGTTAACTAGACGCATGGGCAGATAGGCCAGTTAACCCATTAAGTGCCAGCGATCTCCCCTTGACGAGTAAAATCGTCTGGCATTAGACAGAGTGAAATACTAAAGTGGGGTGCATCAGGGTGCAATGCGACTCAACGGGTTAACTAGACGCATGGGCAGATAGGCCAGTTAAACCATTAAGCGCCAGCGCTCTCCCCTTGACGAGTAAAATCGTCTGGCGTTAGACAGAGTAAAATACTAAAGTGGGGTGCATCAGGGTGCAATGCGACTCAATGGGTTAATATTAAAATTCACTATCTCCCACTTGACAAGCAAAATCACCTGGCCGTGTTAAACAGAAAAGAGGTGCACATCATGGCCGAATGTTAATTAAAATCCTATACGAAAACATGATAGGACACAAAACAGTTAAAGCTAGGATGAGGCCATTTTTTATTTTACTCTAATGCCAGGCAATTTGATTCCCATACATGTAAAGAATAATGCAGCTAGTGTTAATTTCCATACACATGCTTATAAACTATAATTTTTGAAACCATGCCTGTAGAAAAGGAAAAGCTAGCTACTTGGCAAATATACATGTATTTCTGAAATTATCGCTGAGCGCCACCTGCAGGCACAATCTGTACAGGTTACCGGAAGGGGGGTGTTGTGCCATGCCTAGAAAAAAATTAAAATGTCATAATTTTAATTCCTGCTTGACCTAAGCACTAGTAGCTAGTGGCCGGGCTTTTCTACAAGCATGGGTGGAAATTTATAACCTGCATTCCACACTTCATATATAATGTCCATTATGTCCATACCATTCAACAATATCCATACCATTATAGTTAATGCTCAATAGTTATTATACTTCAACCCCGCAGCTTCAACCGTAACCAAGATTTATGAAAGAACATGTTGAGGAATGCCAAATGCATTCCAGCAGCCATAACGAGTTACATACAGAATATTTTCTTGTGTATTGGAGTATTTAACAATAAATGGATGTTCTGGTGAAACTATTGCTTTACAACATGAACCGTCTTTCAATAGTTTTGAAAAAAAATCTGTTTCTATAGTTCCAGAAATTGTATTATTGCCAGCGACATGCTTTACCCAGTTATAAACAGCATCCAAGTTTGATATTTCAAGCTGTACAACAGATTTTGTTTTCTTCACAATATTACCATAGCCACCCCTTAAAATTGTTTCCTTTAGCAATTCGAATATTTCCACGGGAATGTTTCTGACAATGGGGATTTGCCAAGGATGAGACAAGGTGGTAGAAGTTTTCATTCTTCTGCGAAGGATCTTGGTGAAGTGAAGCAACTCCCTCGAAAGCATTGGGAAAAGCTCCGCGACATGAAACTTACAAGCATCCTCTGCGGTAAATAAATATTTTTTTACGACTTGTCTGGAACGCTCAAGAACTTCTGTTCCGATTTTCCCAGCCAATTCTTTGTCATTTGCCTTTTTAATGTATTTTTCTACTACTTCGTGCAAACTCACAAGAAGAGACGCCATCTTGAAAATAGTAGCAACTGACCGAAAATATAATTAGTCTGCAGGCTCCTTCTGTTGTCATGTGTCCGAATTCAACACTCTTCTAGCCCGGTGTGAAAATAGTCAACAGTTATCAGATAATTTCGTTCATTAAACGTAAAGATGTCAACTCCGACTTTTGCCCATGGTCTATTGGGCACTTCGTGAGATCTCAATGTTTCTTTGGATTGCTTATTGTCAAACGATCTACATACATTGCACTGTGCAGTGTGATCTTTAATATCTCTGGTCATTCCTGGCCAATAGATAGATTCTCTGGCACGACGTAGACATCCGTCTGCCCCTATACGAGTCGAATGAATACGTTGAATCATCTGCTTTCTCAGATCATTCGGAACTAACACACTTTCACCTCGAAAAATCAAACCCTCTTGAACTGTCAATTTGTCACGCACACCAAAATATTGTCTCGCTTGCCCTGGAACGTCACTTCTCTTATCTAGCCAACCCTTCAAAATGACTTTCTTCAGCTCTTGCATACATTCATCAGTTTCCATACTCGCTCGGATATCATCCAATCTTGCTGAGTCAACGGGTAAACTATGCATCACATTGATCGACTCTACTTCAATCTCGACCGGGGTTCCACCGTCTTGAAGATATGCTCGACACCACAAATATCATATTCACCTGAGTACACTACACCAACACAGAAAAAAAATTCATATTACTAGAATACATTGGTATCGAAGGAACTAGATTCTGTTCCGAAATATCACTTACTGATCCGTCCTGACCACGTAGCTCAGTTGGAAGAGCATTGGGCTAGTATTCCAAAGGTCGTAGGTTCGAATCCCACCGTGGCCGGGCATATTTTTCAAGCTTGCCCGGTGTGGATATAGACTCAGAGTAACACCACAAATATCAAGCTCCATATTCTTTCCACTTCGATACACCAAATCAATATCATATCCTTGCAGTCTTAACAACATTCTCTGCAATCTTCTTGGAGCCATATGTAGGGGTTTTTTCATTATACTTTCCAATGGCTTATAATCAGATTGGACTTGCACTGGACGACCGTATGTGTACTGGCGAAATTTCTCCAAACCAAAGAGCACGGCCAGAAGCTCTTTCTCGATCTGAGCATAGTTGACTTCTGCTCGAGATAACACTCTACTTGCAAACGCAAGTGGCTGTCCATTTTGGGAAATAACTGCTCCCAAGCCTTTTTCAGATGCATCACATTGTAGAGTAAGCTCTTCACTAGGCTGGTAATACTTAAGGATCGTTATCTCGCCAACTAACTGTTTCATAGTGTCAAACGCTTGCTGTTGTTCCCCGGTCCATCGCCACACTGTATCTTTATGGGTTAGTTTCCTCAAAGGTTCACATACTCCACTCAGGTTCGGCAAGAATCTTTGTAAATAGTTCACAAAACCAATCAATCTACGAACTGCAGCTACATCTGTTGGCTTAGGCATCTCTAAGATTGCTCTCACCTTGTCTGGATCAGGCTTCAGTCCTTCGTCTGTCAACAAATGACCCATGAATGTAACTTCATTACAACTCAGTTTGACTTTATCTGCATTCAACGTGGTGTTCTTCTCACGACATCGACGCATTAATGCATGAACTTTCACATCATGATCTCGCTGTGCTTCTTCACGCGTAGCACCGTTACCAATCACCAGGATGTCATCGTGAATTGCTACCACTCCTGGAAGATTCTCTATAACACGATGTTGGCGTCGTTGAAACTCTTCTGGTGCACTTGTCAGACCAAATGGCATCCGCAGCCAGTGATAACGGCCAAATGGGGTTATAAAGGTGGTCAGTAGGGAACTTTCTTCGTCTAGCTCCACATGCCAAAACCCATTTCTCACGTTGAATACACTGAACACTCTTGCTTCTCTCAGGTCAGGCAAAATCTCGTCTATCGTTGGATAGTGGCTGCGTCTGGTAGCTTTATTCAGATCCTTCGGGTCTATACATATACGTAGCTTGCCAGTTGGTTTTCTAACAATAACCATATTCGAAACCCAAGATGTCGGTTCGGTTACCACTTTAAGAATGCCTTCAGACTCTAACCTCTCCAATTCTGCTTTCAAATCGTCTTTCAGTGCAATAGGTACTGGTCTTGGTGGATGAACCACAGGTGTTGCATCTGGATCAATTGTTACATGATATTGTTCGTCAAATTTGCCAGTTCCCTGAAAAACATCTGAATATTGTTCAATAAGGGTATCTTTAGTCAACGCTGTTTTACTCGATTTAACCGACAACAATAATATATTCTCGTATCTGACTGTAATTAGACTCATTTGTTGAATTGTTTCACTGCCTAACAATGGTGTGCATTCTTGTTTCAAAACAACAAATTCAGTTTCATAGCTTTTGCCAGTTTTCTCATTTTTTAATTGTAACACACATTGTCCGACCGGTTGTACCGTTGCTTTGTTATACATCTTGAGAACTCGGCTTGTTCCTTTCAATTGAACTTTTCCTAAACACCGCTCTAACATAGATAATGAAATGACATTGCATGTCGCGCCACTGTCTAATTGAAAATTCACCGGCTGTTTACCAACAGTTATTGAGGCATATAATCGCTTTGGGAATTGTTTTGTGCTTGATGATTTTTCTGGCTTTCTCTTATCGTCCACTTTTACCATTTTAATTTCCTCATAGTCGCTGCTATCACTAGAAGTGTCTACCTTTTTAACTGTTTGTCTTTTAGTTTTGCAAACAGAGGCAAAATGATTTAATTTACGGCACTTTCGGCATTCTTTCCCATACGCAGGGTACTTTGTTTTGTTCCATTCATGCATACCCCCACAATATTTGCATTTCCTGTCTACGCCTACGGCATTGTTCAACTGTTTAGAATTATATTCGTCTCTTACCTTTCGGCTTCTATTTTGCTTACCGCCCTGTCCAGCGTTGAAAGCATAAATCCTATCGTTGTCTTCGATCTCTTTACTTCGTTCTTTTGATAGTTCAGCTGCGCGACAATTCTGTATGCATTTATCTAGGCTCAGTTCAGGTATTTTTAACAAGTCCTGTCGTAGCTTCGAGTCAGTCATGCCACAAATTATTCGGTCTCGGATCAATGATTCTTTAAGCTGTTCAAAGTTACACGTTGCAGCCAGAATTTTCACATCTGTGATAAACTTATCTAATGTTTCTCCCGCTTCTTGCACTCTTGTAAAGAACTTGTATCTCTCTACCGTCTCGTTTTTCTTCGGGTCACAATAGTTCGAGAATGCTTCAACAATATCTTTAAAGCTCCGCTTTTCGGGTTCTTGATCAAACGATAATGTCTCGTATATTTCTCGACCTTGACTTCCAACAATGTACAGAAAGAGTTTAACTATCGTCTCTTCTTTCTTTCCAACCATAGCCAATTCCATATACAGCTCTACCTCTTCTCGCCAACGTTTCCATGAGTGCGCTACATTTGAAACGTCGAAGTCAAATTCAGTAGGTGGTTTTAGGTGAGAAATTGGTCGACTTATTTCACTAGTTTCTGGTTTCGCCATGTTTCTTTCAGGCTCGTTTAACTACACACCTGACACCATGTTAAACATCCCGTTTTATATTAACACATGCACACATTTAAGTACAGTAGATTAAGGCACATTTAATAAAACTGCTATCTCTTTTATACATTAGTACTCTGAGCCCGCATTACTGTTCCATGATACATACTTCTTGTTACAATGAGTGCCAGCTGTCCTCAGTTCAAATGTTTCGTCACATTCTGGGCATTGTCTCTTGACAAACTTTCCCTCGCCATATTTCTGCATTAGGTCGTTCTCTAGAAAATTAGAAAAACCTCGTTCAAAACCAAACCACGGTCGAAATATAATATATATTAAACAATTTAGTAAGCATAAATCATCAACCTACCACCTTCTGAAACTGAAGCAATAACATCGCCAGACGTGTCAATGCTTTTCTCTAATCCTTCGGCTTCAGGTCTATCAGCCAAAAAACTGTCCATCGTGTCAAAAAATTTAGGACTTTTGCACCTTCCCGCACCAGAGTGTGCTAAGTTATCTCTGTGCTTCTTATATGTCGATTTTAAGTGTTTAAACTTTGTTCGGCATTGCGTCCAGTCTCGATGTATTTCTTTTCATCATCTCACTAACTTTCTTGTAGATATCCGTGTTTTTGTGAACCCCTTGAAGTTTTTTTGGATTTTTTCAGCCCCCCATGCCGCAAGAAGTTCCAAAGTCTCATTGTCAGAGCATATATCTCTTTTTTTCGACATTTCAAAGAAAAAAAAACACAAGCTTTTGTTGAATTTTGCTTTGAAAAAACAGCGTGGCCCTTCGATATTCGATATCGCGCGAATGGTGGGAAAGTTTTGGGTACTGGGAGCGACATACTCATTACTCAATCGAGGTCATTTCATTACTTCAGTCTGTTTTCAGTTCACACTTGGTTAAGATCGATCTCAGACCGCCTCTTCAAGGTCCTGTTCACACTAGCCGTTTAGATCGATCTGAGATTGGTCCGAAGTAAATCGAGCTAAGTGTGAACCGTCGTAAAAATTTGAGATCGATCTCAGATCGATCTCAGTCAGCCCGCTTGAAAAGGTGGTCTGAGATCGATCTCCGATCGATCTGGTTTATGTGTGAACACAAAAGAACGCAAGACATCGATCTAGCATAGTTCAGGGCGCTATATAGGAAAGCATCCTTATACAAGAGATAAGAATTGCTTTTTTTAAATGAAATTTATAGTGTCCTAATGCTAGATTAATGGACAATAAATGTCTCATATTAATTATCGACAAAAATGACTAAACTAAAATATATTCCCATTTTTTCTATCGCAAGTGTAAATTTTTTTCATCAAAATTTTCGAGTTTGAAAGGGCGCATTTTGGCTTCAAATTGGCCTTTCACCATGGGTAAGTTGGCAAAAGTTATTTTGAAATCATCATCCTCTTCGCCATTTAATGGCCATTCTAATACTTATAGTGAGCGAATGCACTTTTTTGAACTTTTTGTTATATTTAATGTTTTCTACAACCTATACTGTACTTCTTTCGCCCGGCCCGGAAGAAAGACTTTAAAAACAAAGCAAATTTAAGACAACATATTAACAAAAACATAATATATATTGCAAATGCACAACAAAGTAGTGTCCAAATTGAATGCAAAATATCAAACTATAGCACCAGTATTTTAAAAGTCATGAGATTTTTTGGCTGTACTAATTTTATCTTGATGAAGTTAAAAAACTTTTGTACATTATTAAGTATAGCTATTAATTTTTGTTGCTGGCAACAGAATAAATGTTTAATTACGTTCTCAAAAAGCCGTCAAGTGCATAAGTGCATTGATAATTAATTCAAGAATACTTTTCCAAACCGAGTTTAAACTGATGTTTTTCGACATATGTTTCATTACTAGTAAAATCGTCGGTTTTGTTTAGTGAAGAAGCGTAGTACGGCCATCGAACGCAATAGCGGACGTGCGAGCATTGAGCATCTTTGGGCTGCAAATGTGGTTAGCATCACTGGAAAAACAAACCGCGAAAAATGCTCGGAAAATTTTTCCTAGGTCCCAAACCTACCCAAAACTTTTGTATTCTATGAGACTAAGTTATGATATATCCGAAATACGACTTTAGATAAATGGCTTTTTTGATAAAGCATGTCTTTTTGCCTTGAATTTTAATACGTTGCCAGATCAAAAATATAGCTTTTCGCCAGGGACGGGACATTCCATATCAACAATGAAAAACAAACCGCGGAAAAATTGTATTTTTACTCGTAAAAGTTTCCCAAGATTCGATATCTACTCAAAACTTTTGTATTCTATGAGACATAAGTTATGATGTATACGAAATACAACATTAGATAAATGGCTTTTTTGATAAAGCATGTCTTTTTGCCTTGCTTTTTTACGTTGCCAAGTCAAAAATATAGCTTCTCGCTAGGGACGGGACATTTCATATCAACAACGAAAAACAAACCGCGGAAAAATTGTATTTTTGCTCGTAAACGTTTTCCTTGGTTCGAAATCTACCCAAAACCTTTGTATTCTATGAGATTAAGTTATCATGTATCCGAAATACAACATTAGATAAATGGCTTTTTTGATAAAGCATGTCTTTTTGCCTTGCATTTTAATACGTTGCCAGATCAAAAATATAGCTTTTCGTCAGGGACGGGACATTTCATATCAACAACGAAAAACAAACCGCGGAAAAATTGTATTTTTGCTCGTAAACGTTTTCCTTGGTTCAAAATCTACCCAAAACCTTTGTATTTTATGAGATTAAGTTATGATGTATCTGAAAAACAACATTAGATAAATGGCTTTTTTGATAAAGCATGTCTTTTTGCCTTTCTTTTTTACGTTGCCAGATCAAAAATATAGCTTTTCGCTAGGGACGGGACATTTCATATCAGCAATGAAAAACAAACCGCGGAAAAATTGAATTTTTGCTCTATAAAAATATTTGCTTATATGAAAATAGAATATAGCTACTCGCCATTTTAACATGAAAAACAATTACCAATGTTAACACGAAAAATTCAAAAACGCATCTAATTTGGCATACCTGATTTCCAAACACATATTCCAGTTCCAGCGTTTATGACAACAGCCGTTTGAAAACTTATCTTCATCTATATTTTCATCTTATAAACATACAGACGAACGCAGTTGTTTTGCAAAAAATCCTGATCACCTCGTGAGTCGTATTATAAATAGTCGAAATGTCGAACCCCACAGTGAAATCTCCGGCTTTATCTAAACTACATCATCCCCTCATCACCAGTTAGGAATCCTGAAAAAAACTTCAGTTTTCCAATAGTGCAGAACCCACAAATCCATTGTGAATTCAACTTGAGTTGTGTTTTTCACATCGTAATTTAAAAACGAAGCCAAAACAAGCACGCCTTTTCGAACCACTGGAATGGAATAAAAATCAAAATATGCGGGGCGGACCTGCATCACACAAAGATCAGGGGCGCTATCTCCGTTTCTCCGCCCGTGTTTTACAGCGCCCTGCATAGTTTAACTCCCATGCTCTTCCCGCCAATCGCGCGCGGCCTTTGAAGGAATTTTTTTCTCAGTACAAAAAACAGAAAAAGCCGAAGAAAGCAGTATTTTTTGTTATTAAAATGGCCCAAAAACGTGAACTATGGTCGGAAAAAGAGTGTTTAGCACTTCTTTCAGCATATGGGACGGAGGAAATTCAAAAAAAGCTAGAAGGTACGCACAAAAACGCCGATATTTATCGAAAAATCAGCGATATTATGAAAAAAAAAGGCATACACCGTGATTGGATGCAGTGCAGAACTAAATTTAAACACATGAAGTCGGAATATAAGAAGTTTAAAGACAACCTGTCGCGTTCTGGAGCTGGGAGAGGCAAAGAACCCAATTTTTTTCAGATAATGGACGGTTTTTGGGGTGATCGACCAGAAGCAGAAGGACTGAAAAACAGTATTGATACATCTGGTGATGCTGCATGCTCATCTGCTGGTGCTGAAATTTCAGAAACTGCAAGCGTTGATGGACTCGGTAAGTTATTTTGGCAGACCATTAGAAAAGTGATGGGGGGGGGGGAATTTTTCAGCTTCCAGGAATATTTTTTTCTGGCCGTCTCCTTGTGCTGAATTTTTTTCTCGGAATGTTAAAGGTATTTTCCTTTGCTTTCCCTCTTTGCACGAATTTTTCCCTTTCGTTTTCCTTTACGCGATCCCCCCCCCCAACATCAATTTTCTAATCAGTCCGCCCCTAACAAACATAATTGTACATGCAAGGTCAGGGAGGTGGGTCTGCGATTGATACACCGATGCTGGAAATGTTCTTTGATTCTTGTGGCTAGAGGTGAAATATTTGTTTCATTTTTTCTTAGGTGACGAACTTATTGAAAAGTATGGCGAGGGAAGAATTATTGAGAAAAAATGTCCTCAGTGCAATGAGATGGTTGAAGTGATGACAGCTGGTGCTCATATTGGAAATAGCACAGCAGTATACACTGATGATGATAAACTTGTGTGTCCATATTGCGATTACATAGAACCAGGTAAGTAATAAGACATTGTGTGTGTACTATATTTTTTGTATTATTATTAAGCTGCGGTAACAAACATAAGATATGTTGTTATGTAGATATTAATGATAAAAATGACGAAGCAAATGAGAAATCTGAAGCTTCCCATAGTGAAGAGGCTATCAAATCCGCCAGCAAGAAAAGTAAACCAATTTCGGGAAAAGGAAAGCCTTCTAAGATGCAAGTGGCATTCGAAAACGCGATGAAGGAACACAACACATATCTAAAAGAGTCTGACAAAATGTTTTTTGTCAGAAATGAAAGAAGAAGGAACAAAAGAACGAGAGTTGCGAAAGGAAGAGCTTGCCGCATACAAAGATTCAATGGCACTTCTTGCAAATGCAATTGCAGGGAGGTCACAGCCTGTTCAACAACCATATTATAATGTTCACCATGATATTGACAGTCAACAAACATTTTACAAATTTTGATTTTATTGTTAACAAATATTAGCACAGTAACTGTTATCCATGTGCTATATATATACTAAACTTATATGAAGGCTATAACTTGTGTGCTCAACATAGTTACAAATTAAACATAGTTTGTAAACTTATTGTGTTTTAAAAAATTCAGTTAACGAATTTCTTATCTCTTCTGCACTTGTGTCTATATTCTGTAAAGCAAAATCTGAAACATCCTCATCAGGAATATCCTGAAAGTAATCTGCAGTAAGCTTGTCTGCCCTGATCTCACAAATATTGTGCAAAACACAACATGTTGCAACTTTCGTTGGTAAGTATTTTAAACTTGTATAATTCTTGTTCAAGAGGCATCTGAATCTGTTTTTTAAACGGCCAATGCGCACTCCACAACTTGCCTTGCTCGGCTTAGGCGATAATTAAATTTCTTTTGTGCAGGACTGAGATTGCCATCATTAGGATGCCTCTTCATCAGCCATGGCAAGAGTGGATAAGCTGGATCACCAACCAGCATGACTGGAACATTGCACTCGCAAATCTGTTTTGTTAACTATGGCAAAGACAGATTGTAAATTTTTAAATTTTTAAAATTTTTTTGTAAATTTAAAATATTTATGATAAACTCACATCTGGGAAAAGTAATCCTGCTTCAGCTTTCCCAAATACTCCTGAGTTTGATAGTACTCTGGCATCATGAACTCGACCTGGCCACTTTATGTAAATGTCAGTAAATCTTCAAAAGATTCATAAAAAGAAATAAATATTTTTTTAAATATTTTGATAGCAGGGTTTGCATGCATTAGTACGACATAAAACTAAGTGCAACATCCAACTTATCAAAGTGATTAGTTTGAAACATATGTCTTAGGGACCGTTCATTATTTATACCCTAGGATGGGGTGGGAGATTCTTATGTCATATACAAGAATCTTGTGGCCCTCCCCCCTTTGATGATCTCAATGTTGAAGACCCCCCCTATAAAATACTGGAAAGTTTATAACCCCCCCCCCGTTTCTATGAATAGTTTAATACTATAAAGAATACGGTATAAGTCAAGAACAAGAATTATTGTTTCCATTGCATATTTTTGCTTTAAAATTATGTGAACCTCGCCGTATTGGACATTGTAGTTTACATTAGAGATATTTATCAGGGTGTGTTAATTAAACTATATGAAGTATAACAAACTATTAACACACTAATTGTTACAATGTGTAACACACAACTTAAACTGGCATTTATAAGTTTGTTTAAATGTCATTTCAACACACATTTTTTAGTTAATAGTTAATTCAAAGTCAGTTTAACCCTTTAAGTGTCAATGTACCCAGATGCGCCCTACTTTATTATTTCACTCTGTCAAACGCCATATTATTTTACTCTGTCTAACACCAGGCGATTTCACTCATCAGGGGGAGAGTGCTGCCATGCAACTCAATGGGTTGACTATCTGCTTAAATGTACCATGTTAACGCTTCAAGTAGCAATGCGCCCACTTTATTATTTTACCCTGTCTAACACCAGATTATTTTACTCTAATGCCAGACGATTTTACTCATCAGGGAGAGTGCTGCCACTCATCGGGTTAAAGATATATATATATATATATATATATATACGCCGCTTTCATTTTTGGCAAAAATTTCCCACTTACCATTATGTTCTGCATGTGGACAGGTGCCCCAATATATTTAATTCTTTTTCTACACCCCCCCAGAAGATTTCAAAAAAGCAAGTACCCCCCACCCATAGGACAAGATGAACTTTACATGCCCCCCCCCCTTTCAATTTTTCCCACCCCATCCTAGGGTATAAATAATGAACAGTCCCTTATCACTGTAGTATCCTGTTGGCTTGTTGCAAGGGTTATCAAATAATAAAATTTGGATGTATTTACACATTACCCTGAGAAAATTAGTACTGTACCGGTACTGATGATCAACAACAGCTTGAAGAACAATAGAATAAAATCCTTTGCGATTGTAGTAATCAGGTGAAGATTCGGAAGGTGCTACAATTGGAATATGGGTGCCATCAATGGCGCCAGCGCATTGAGGGAAGCCCCAGGTCGTGAGAAAACCATCAACGACATTGAGCAGTTTCTCGTCTGATGGCCATTTGATCACTTGAGGCAGTAGTATTTCAACAACAGCTTGGCAAACTTCATTAATAATTTCACAGGCGGTGCTCTTTCCCACGCCAAAACGCCAGGCTAGAGACCTCAAATCTTCATTAGTAGCCAAATGCCAAAAACAAATTGCTGCTCGTTTCTCCACTGGTATAGCTTTTCTGAAGGTTGTATCCTCTCGCAAAAGATAAGCATTAATTTTCTTGCAAAGAAAATCGAATGTTCCCTTAGACATTCGGAAGTTTTCCAACCAGAGGCTATCGTCGTTCCACATGACAACTGTTTCCTCCCAAAACAACCCTGTACCTTTGCTTGCCTGCACCCAAAAACGTCTTTCAGATGACAATCTGTTTCCTAATGCGCCAATACACCAAAAATAAAATGTCCTGTGCTTTTTTTTGTTTCGCTGATTCATGTAATGTTTCATGAAATTTACCCGGCGCATCCGTATCTTTTTCTGGTAATCAGAGGTTATACTCAAAATAGTTGCGATCACATTCACATCTATTTCTTCAGCTGCCATCTTGGCATGATGTGGATGTCAATTCAGTTAAATACATGGTTCACTGGATTGGCATCCAGTTAAATATAAAGTTCAGAAGTTGTCAATTCAGTTAGATAAATAGTTCAGTGGATGTTGGTCCAGTTAAATATATAGTTCGGTGGTTGTCCATCCAGTTAGATATATAGTTCCGTGCTTGGTAGCCAAGCCTTGAAGTATCAAGGAAACGAGATCGCTTCGTGTAGTGTGAACGCACGCAAAAATGATAATTGTTCGCCACAAGATCGATCTCGGATCGATCTTGCCAGATCGATCTTTTAGTGAGCTAAGTGTGAACAGGCCCCAAGTGAGCTTACTCAGATCGATCTGAGATTGATCTCAAGTTTTCAGCGACAGTTCACACTAGGTATGCTTTGTCCCAGATCGATTTCAGATCGATCTAACAATGTAGTGTGTCTAACAATGTAGTGTCTGCTGACATACTCTTTTTTTATTAATATATATATGAACTTCAAAATTTCCAACGTTTCTCAAAACAACTTTTTTGCATGAAATATTGATAATTTTAGCGCGTTTTTCTTGAAATTTGAGTGTTTTCAATGCAAGCAGGGCGTAATAATATAAATGTATAGGTATAGAACAGGTATGGTATTACGAATATATAGACTGCTGTTTGTATCAAATTGTTTTCTTTTTTATATTCTGCAAAGATAAAAACTATCGAATTTTTCCATGATGTTTACAGAGAAACGTCACAGCCGCCACTTCCAAAACAAACATATGACGTTTCTCGTGGAAAAAATCTATATGTGAAGCTTCCCTAAACAAACGTCTTAATTCTACAGATTTCAGATTCTATTGATTGGTGTTCAGGTGTTGTTGTACCTGTATTTGTGTTCAACCACAGCCTGCAGAACGATAGAGTAAAAACTCTTTCTATTATAGTAATCTGTTGATGATTGCGGTGGTGCAACAATGGGAATATGCGTGCCATCGATTGCTCCTGCACATTGCGGAAAACCCCAGACCTGGAGAAAACCATCAAGGACAGTGCGTAGCGCTCCACCAGTTGGCCATTTCAAGACTGTAGAGAGTAGAACATCTACAATTGCTTTGCAAACGTCATTCACAATTTCACAAGCTGTGCTCTTTCCAACACCAAAGCGCCATGCTAAAGAAGGGAAATCTTCTCCAGTGCCCAAATGCCATAAGCAAATTGCAAATCTTTTTTCGACAGATATAGCTTTTCAGAAGGTTGTGTCTTGACGCAAAAGATTACCAGATATCTTGTGACACACGAAATCAAAAGTTCCCCGAGACATTCGAAAGTTTTCAAGCCAAAGACTGTCCTCTTTCCAAAGAGCAACCGTTTTCTCCCAAAAAGACGCAATGTCTCTACTTTCTTGAACCAAAAACCTTCTTTCAGTGAATAATCGATTACCAAATGCTCGAAAATACAAAAATAGCGTTTCTTCTCAATTGATTCGTTATTTTTAAAAACTGCTTCCTAAAACGCACATGATTCCTTTCGATATTTTTCTCGTAATTAGCAATTATATTGGCCAAAACGACAGAAGATATCTCTGCCACCTCGTCTGCCGCCATCTTGTTTTGAAAAACCGATCATACTTTGTTACGACGTTAGACGATGTGCTTCTGAAGAGATCCGTGCAAAAAAAATATGAAATGACTAACCAGGATCGATGTAGTGTGAATCTTCCAATAATACGTTTGAGATCGATCTGAGATCGATCTCAGGTCGATCTTAGTGTGAACAGGCCCCAAGCGAGCTGACTCAGATCGATCTGAGATCGATCTCAAGTTTTCAGCGACAGTTCACACTAGGTACAGTATGCTTTGTCCCAGATCGATTTGAGGGGTCGATCTAACAATGTAGTGTGAACAGGCCCTTGAACTGATTTGAAGCATTAATTTAGCATATTAATTCTGTGATTCGGTCCCGAGACATTTATATTCGTTCTATTTATAAAAATTATCCGATTCAAATGCAATTAGTTGTAAAATCTGAAATCAACTTATTGATAATATTATATGCAATAATCTTTCGTACAGTATAATATCAATACCTCGACAAATACCGCGTTTATACGTGCCCCAGGGCAAATGAAAACGCAGATAAAGTCATAGGATATTTACTTGTGCTATAAAATCTCCAAGTGCACTAAATTCCATGAGTGTCAGTTTAATTTACTGTCGTTAAAAATACAGAAATAGACCAATAGACACAAAATTTAGCCTATATTCGTTGAAATCATGTGTTTATAGCTATAACTTACATTTATTGTCAACAAATATTAACTTTTCTAGGTTTGATTTCTTTTCAACACTATTTTCACTTGAATGTGAGTCACCGTACGTTTCTTCATCACAACCGATCGTATCGTTAAGGTTTCGGCGCAACCGGATCTTAATGTGAGAATAAGTCATAGTACGGTGATGCCTTGTTTTCAAAAACTAGCTGATCAATCCTCAAAATATTTCAGTAAAACTTTGACATTGAATTGACCTTTCACAAGAACAATAGCATGCGAGTGGTTTAATTAGGTGTCATGGGTCTTTCCAGCAAGGAAAATACAACATCACAATATCATTACTAATTCTCATGTTAATACATGCAGTGGTAAGATCCATATATATATTTCAAAAACTCATTAATAATTCATGAAGCAATTATCCAATCTTGAGTAAGAAATTAGTCACGTGACACGTGCATACGTCTTTATACCATGTAATTTTAATATAATGTAATATATAATTTTTATATAATGTAATTTTACGTAAACTAAGTGACAAACAAAATACACGCATCTATCACAAAGTTTTCTTCGTAGAGTCGAATAAAAAATTTTACAGCGGCTTTCAAAATTATTTTCATAGGATTTGGAAGGACAAAAACGTCCAGAAATTCGAGTTTTACAAACACAAGAAATATCTTTACTTTTGTCCACAAACGAAATAAAACAACCATAAATAGAAACGTAATAAAACACGATGAAAGAAATAAAAAGTCTACAAAATGAAAACAAATTTGTATTTACGCGCCTTACTGCTAACCAATCCAAACAAAAAATAACGGGCTCTAGTTTTCTTTAGATTGGCGCTTGAAACACTCATACTATGTAGGTGTGGTTGTAGCTGTTTGTGGGAATGGAGTTGCACGATACAAATTTTTGATAGAATGCCGCAGTTGGGTGACATGTGTAATAATGGGGTTGCAGTTTCTGAGTGATGCTTACAATTGAAGAATGGCATTCTTAAGAAAATTTGGTAACAGTATACTATCAAATTACATTTATCAGCATGCAAACTTATAAATAACGAAAATAGAAACAGTTTAAAAGATTGGTGAGCATGGGCATTCAAATGATTCTTTATTAGACTGGTGATCCTTGTCATTAACTTTTCTTTGAAGGAGCTCCACTTGTAGCTCCAGTTTTTATCTGAAGTTTTCTCCAGTTTTATGAGAAGGTTTTCCTTCTCAATTTCCATTTTTTCTTTCTCTAACTTTAGCACCTCGACATGCAATTCCTGCACCTCAATGGGAATCCCATTTTTGGGTCTTTGGGCGTTTCCGTGGTAGGTTGTGGCTCACTTTGAGATCGTAGTGCGGTAACATCCACAACAATTGGTGAAGATTCACTGGACGGCTCATCACCACCTAATATAAGATGGAAGTTTAATTTGTGCATGTGAATTTAATTTTTTCTTTAAAAAAATAATTTACTCCTATAACCAAGTGGCAGAAATGAATTCTTTCAGGCAGCCTCCAGCTGAATTTTCAACAAACTTCCCCTCCCCTCATTATCCCTCCATGTGGCTGACTTTTGTTCTTTTCAGTATCAAATCTCCAACTGATTTCAAAGGAACTTTTCTATTCTTAAATTTATAATTCAATACAACATCACTAACTGGTTCAATAATTTAGGTTTGGTACCTGTATGCCTATTATTGTAAACAGTTTACAGCTATATAAAAAGTCTACTGTGTCTTAATTACCAGGAATCTCCACAACCACTGATTCAACACAACTGAGGTCAACACTGTTGTCTTCCTCTTCACTGTCATCATCCCCAAAAGTATCCTTTGACATAAAGGACTCTATTTAATAAACATAGAAAGTGTAGGGACAGTTTTTATATGAACACGTTTTGAAAAGTATTATACAGTATACATATATAAACATATATATATTGTATATATCAGTATTATAAACATATATATATATCAGTATTGAATTTGTGCGTAGTGAACTAGAGTGCTCAACACCAGTAAAACAGTAGAGCAAATGAAAACAAAATGACAAATTTCAATCTTAAAATTTTATTTCATCGCTACACAGTGTTTCACGTACATCGTACGATCATCAGGCGATTGATGTTAATGATCTCGCAATAAATTACAACGGTTTACGCTGACGCGCTTAGATTGCCGACGCAAGCATTTAAATGTTTACTTGCGCACGCACGCTCATGCAATTAGAAGCTTTATAACTATTTCTATGCCTACATTTTCTAAGAAATTCAGATCTTATATTCAATGTATTATTTTTGTCAGATAACATAATCATTCTTTTTTTCCTCGGTGCATAGACAACAAACTTTCATTCCTGTGCAAACGGCTGGAACTTGCTTCATAACCGACCATTTTATTCGGAATGATCTATTCTGCGATTTAAGACCCGAAGCATATTTCGAAAGTTCCGTCTCTGTCGAATAGTGCTCATTGTTCAATGGTTTCAAGTGGTTGCTATATCTTAACTTGAAAGGACCCGCCGACATTCCTATATAATTCTTGACCACTTTTCCATTGTCGCTTGTAATCTGGGCTTTATATACAACGCTTCTCACGAGACAATTGCCGTTCAGTGGACATTCACTTTTAATTCTGCAGTTACACGATTTCGAGGGAATTTGGGAGGGATTTTGGGAGGGATTCTGATTCTTAAGAACACGCCGGTTGTGGTTTGAAATTGATGCTTTAATATTGTTCATGCATGAATAACTGACTTTGACAGAGTTTCGATTGAAAATGTTATGTATAGGATCGATGATTTGGGGAAATACTTGTCTATTAAACGAAGGAATTTTTCTGCAACTTTCGTCTTCACGTTCTTGCTGTAGGGCGGATTGTACCAAATAATGTTTCTTGATCGGGTTCATTTCTTGGGCTTACTATTATTTGTTTCATTGTCGTACCTTAGGCTGGTATTAAAATTGCTTTGCTTCAGTGCATCTTCGTATAAAGGGACGGCTGAATCAAAACTTGGTTTGTCGGAGGAAAGGGATGATATACGTTTATTAATTGATTTTGGGAGTTGTCTGATAATTGATGGTGGATGATTAGAACGGCTATCGATATAAAGGGGATCATTATTTGGTTTCTGATAGGGAGTGAAGTTATTTTCTTTTTCTTTCTTATTTTCCCTCCCTATCGGAAACCAAATAAGTGCACGTAAACAACTGAGTGTACGTAAATTCGTGATCAAAGTTACTATGTCTAAGAGCGTTACCTATTTACCAGAACGCTCTTAGACATAGTAACTTTGATAATGAATTTATGTACACTCAGGATGAACCGCAACGGACACGTAGGAATAGGCAACGCAACATAATTTGGTTCAACCCACCATTTAGTAAGACTAAGAGTGTTAACACGAACATAGGACGGGAATTCTTAAGTTTAATTGACAAACACTTCCCACTACAGCACAAACTACACAAGATTTTTAACATGCAGAAACACTTTAAAAGTAAGCTACAGTTGCATGAACAACGTTAAGTCTATAATCACCAAACACAATGCATATATAATTTGGAACAGTCAATCACATGCAGAATACGGAAACTGACAACTGTATAACTGCGACAACAAAAATACTTGCCCACTACCGAAACAATGTATGACCAACAACATTATTTACACAGTCACAACGAACAACACGAACGACACTAAACACTACATTGGTATGACAGCGACTACATTTAAGGAACGTTACGCTAACCACACTTCATCTTTTCGTCATAAAAAAGACTCAAACAAAACGGAACTTTTGAAACATATTTGGAAATTAAAAGAAAACAATCAGGACTATACCATCAAATGGTCAATTTTAAAACACGCTGTTTCGTACACAGGGGGATCAAAACGCTGCAATTTATGTTTGGAAGAAAAATGTTGCAATTTGAAAGCATGAACAACGACAATTTACTCAATAAAAGAAGCGAAATTTTCGGCAAATGTCGTCACAAAAACCGGTTTCGAGTAAACAAGGTCGTTAACAAAACCTAATGACCCAAGCATGCATTGTTTCGCCTAAGCATTGTTTCGCCTACACGCATTCAGCACATTCTTTCGATAGCATAAAAGCAACCTACAATTTACTCACCACCTGCATGGTGATTCCTATACGGATGAAACAGACTGTTGTGGTTTTTTGAGGTAAAACGAAAAACTATATATATATATATATATATATATATATATATATATATATATATATATATATATATATATATATGTGTATGTGTATGTGTATGTGTATGTGTATGTGTATGTGTGTATGTGTGTATGTGTGTATGTGTATGTGTGTATGTATATATATATATGTATATATATATATGTATATATATATATGTATATATATATATGTATATATATATATGTATATATATATATATATGTATATATGTATATATGTATATATGTATATATGTATATGTATATATGTATATATGTATGTATGTATATGTATATATGTATATGTATATATGTATATGTATGTATGTATATGTATGTATATGTATGTATGTATATGTATGTATATGTATGTATGTATGTATGTATGTATGTATGTATGTATGTATGTATGTATGT